TGGATGTAGTATGTATGTATGTATGTATGTATGTATGTATGTATGTATGTATGTATGTATGTATGTAGTATGTATGTATGTATGTATGTATGTATGTATGTAGTATGATTATGTATGTATGTATGTATGTAGTATGTATGTATGTATGTTGTATGTAGTAGGTATGGTAGTATGTAATGTATGTATGTATGTATGTATGTATGTATGTATGTATGTAGTATGTATGTATGTATGTAGGTATGTATGTATGTATGTATGTATGTAATGTAGTATGTATGTATGTATGTATGTATGTATGGATGTATGTATGTATGTATGTATGTATGTATGTATGTATGTATGTATGTATGTAGTATGTATGTATGTATGTATGTATGTAGATGTCGTATGTATGTATGTATGTATGTATGTATGTAGGTATGTATGTAGTATGCCTGTCTGTCTATATCTTACACACGCTCACATACATACTCCCAGACACACACGTGTAAGTGTGTGTGGTTGCTTTCGACCAGCTCTAGAGCCTTGTATGACACAGCTTTTCTTCTTGTCCCCAGCACTGGGAGTGCCGGGTGTTACACACGGCTTACCTCTACACGATCTGTGCCAGTCAAATGTGGATCTTTGTGGAGGGCCTCTATCTTCACATGCTGATCTACAAGACCCTGTCCACTGAGAGAAACGGGGTCAAGCCCTACGTGGTTCTAGGCTGGGGTAAGTGCTTTTCTTCACATAAATGGTCTTAAACTAGATCCGTTGCAAGGCGTTAATTTCATCCCATGACCAGAACATCTACCTCCACGTTGTGAGAAAAACAAGAATAGGCCCACTATCTCCCCAACATGCATGTCGTGAAAGACGACTAACTGGGAGTTTTCTTCAATTTGGGAGTGCATCGGGGTGAGCGGCAAGAAATCTAAGTCTGCATACAGATAGGTCAAATGTGTAAAACGGATTTGCACGCAATACTCAGGTTCTGGAACAAGTCGAAGGTCCGGAGGTCGATGACCAGCCAGAACTTTACGCCGAAGTTTACGGCCATTGAACGCGAAGAAGAAAAAATGTGCGCCATCTTCCCCACCCCCCTCCCCCACCCCCCAACCCCACACCCACCACCCTCCCCGGAGCAAATGTAACTGATGCCATTAGAGATGCAGACAGGTTTAGGATAAAATCCATTTCCTTTTTTCTTCTACTCAGTCGCACTGGTTATTCTGTCTTTCCACAGCTCTCTTTGGTGTACTGCCAATAATAGGCTCGTATTCCTTTACAACTGCTCCAGATTATCTTTGACATCCCTAAACCTAGAACAGACATGTACAAAACAAGCGTTGAGTACTCTGCCTCTCATCTGTAGAACAAACTTTCACAACTAATCCCCAAAAACAATCGACAACCCCTATAAATACATTCGGAAGCTTCTTAATTTTATATCACTACAGACTGCAATTCCCCTTAGAAGGTAATAGTGTCCTATGAATACTGTTGATTTCCACCAAGATTTAATTAATATATTAAGTATAGTAATTGTTTTAAAATGTAAACATACTTAGAGCACATTTTTACTAAGTACTTCAGTTCCCCTCACCGTTTGTATACTCCTTCTGACAAGAGTAACGATATTTCATTGGAAGACATTATTTTTAACTGTTTAATATAATGTGTCCGAGGTCGCCTGCAACCCCCACCCCACCATTGTGTGCGTGTGTGTATGCTTCAATAAAGCTGCATCTCTGCAGCCTTCTCATAAGTGTTCCTAATCCGTCGACTGTCCATTGCTCATTTCGGGATATAGGAACACAAATATCGTTTGACCCAGACTTGTGACAATTTACTTTTTTTTTCTTGGTTATTCGTCCAATTAGACTTTGGCTTTGTGCCTGACCTGAGTTTTGCGTGCAGATTCGTTTTACAAGCTTATTTGTGTGTAGTTGGTTATTCTTTGCCGCTCGGGCAGATGCACTCTTATTTCAAAAGCAGCCCCCAATTAGTCGACTCTTACGACATGCTTCTTTATAGGCAGTCGATCAAGTCTTGTTTTCCCCACAATCAGGCCCCGGAACCCAAACGGGGAGTGACAGCATGCAGTAACTAACACTGTAAGTGCTAATGAAATAACTGCCCTATATCTAGGATGAAAAAACATAAAAACAATAATGTTATTCAAGAAGTTTTTTCCTACAGATTTTATTTTATTAATGTACTATATACTTTTGTATGGGGCAGGATCATGGAGAACAACTAGGGCAAATACTAATAAATTACTGACATGCCTTAACTGGTGCCTGCGAAGAACACATGGAGTTAAATGGTATGATAGAATAACTAATGTAGAACTTTGGGGGAGAACTAAACAGACTCCAGTGGACCAAGAGGTGAGTACAAGACTCTGGCGTTGGATAGGATACACACCGAGAAAACAGGAGAACAGCATAACTAGAATCTCTTTGCATTGGAACCCACAGGGACATAGGCATAAAGGAAAGCCACAAAAAAAAAAAGACACGGAGAAGAGAGCTGGACAATGAAGTTAGAAAGATGGGGAGGACATGAGGAAAGCTTTATGTAATGGCGAAGGATAGAACGACTTGGCGTGAGTTGGTTGAGGGCCTATACTCCATTGGCGGATTGAAAGGCAGAAAAAGAAGAACGATGTACTAAATACGTAAGGTCTATACTAGTCCATATATCTAGCGACCAACCGTTGGGATCTCAGAATACCTGCATTTGTGAATTTGATAACGGAGCTGAAATTGGACTAGCAACCGCCAGAGTCTCTAGAAAACAGACTTAGTCACTTCGCCGAGACCACGCCCCCCCCCCCCCCGTCCCCTTTTTTCAACCCTCTCGCCCCAACCCCCTGGCCACCTCCTCTTTTCCAGATTCGTGTTTATGCTTTATGATAAAGATGTCAAAACGTTGTAAATGTAATCAAATTTCATTGCATATGTAAGATTATAAGCTATAACTGTCTAGATAATAAAGTGTATATCAAAGAGCAAGACAGGTCGTTTACATTGCTTTTGCCACAGGGGGATTTTAAAGTGCTATTGTACTTTATTTTTTACAGCTCTGCCGGTGGCAGTCATGACTCCTTGGATTTTTGTGAAAGCACTGGCAGACAATACACTGTAAGTTTTCACGAAGTGTAGAACACACAGGTTTTACATAATATTTTTTCTTACTAGCAGGACAATGAAAAATTCAAAACAAAATAGTAATAGCAAGCGCAATAAATGGAAAGGAATTTCAGGTACAACGGAACTTTTCGACTAATCTTAATGTAAAAATAAATAAACAAAACAGTAATTCTCCAACACCACAGCCTGTGAATTAAATGGTGAAGATAAATAGGCTTGGACATGTTTGCAGGATGCATCGTGACACTTTGGAAGGACAGCTCTCCTATGGACGGCAGGTGGGAAAAGGAGACTTGAATGACCCAATGTAACCTAGAAGAAGGACAGTAAAAGGATAAAAGCAATGTGCAAAATGATTTGGTTGCCAAAGCAGAAACCTAGCATAATTGCAGCAAAACAGAATGCCTTTTGCATAAACAGCGACACTAAGAGGCTACCGATAGAAAATGAGTGGGACTGGGGTGGGGGGCCTTTCCTTCTTTTTGTGGGTTACCTGACGCTGTGTATGTTTTAATTTGCAGTAGCTTCTAGAATTTTCTTCAATCGAAGCTTTATTTATTTTTATACAAACTATTATAATTTTTTCAAAAAGATTTGTTTATATTAGGGCTGTAATTCACGACTATTTTGTGAAAACAGAACAACAACAACAACAACAACAACAAAAAAAAAAAAAGGCGTCCTCCAATGTAGCTTAGTTAAAGGCGTATCCACAAATTATTAATTTATTGTGTCATATAGTCGGCTTATCAAAACCAACATAGACACCAGTTTCATAAGTTTGAGGTGCACATTTATAGCTATGCAGAAGATTACCGCTTTACTGGATCAGCTCTTTCGACAGGAATATAAAATGTGTCATTTATAATGTTTTTTTTTGTTTTTGTTTTTTTAACCTTGGGAAACTTTAAAAAAATATGGCGCTTGGTCATGATAAAGCATGGAGATATAAATCTGAAATAAACTAATTAACTTGAACTTGGAAATAACAGATCAAAGTAATTGGCTGATTAACAAAATCCTGGGCATTAATATAGAAAATAGCACTATTTTTCGCGTTAAGGACTGCATAAAAAAAGTTGCTATCTGATAGGCAGTTTTCGAGAGAATAGATTTCAAGCGTGTTGATGAATTGCTTAGCGAACTATAAATACATTAACATGGTTTTCCTCTCTGGTTCGTTATGGCAGGTGCTGGAACTTGACAGGCAACCCTCTGTACATGTGGATAATCCACGGTCCAATGTTGGCTACAGTACTGGTGAGTGAAGATGCTCATAGATGGTGGTATTTCTGTGTATAGGATAAACTTATTAGCTTACATTTTATGTTACCTATACAGCCATGTTACAAAATAGTAAACCTAAATTGTTAATCGTAATAATAATAATAATAATAATAATAATAATAATAATAATAATAATAATAAAAATAATAATAATAATAATAATAATAATCTTTAATTTATTTCATATACAAGGGCAACTTATTAAATGATATAACGTGTTTTTAACATTCACCCTGTGCCGTCCCCTCATCACGCCCTTTCTGATTTAAGATTGTATTTCACTGCTTTATGTGAACCTTTATTTGTTTTAACGAGATAGAGAGAGAGAGAGAGAGAGAGAGAGAGAGAGAGAGATAAAGAGAAAGAGAGTGTATGAGAGAAAAGAACGTTTCTCGCGCGGCTTGAAGATAATATTTAGTTTTCTTATTGGAATTGTTTATTCAGTACTTTTTAACCCGCAAACACAATTATTCACAAAACATTCACAGCTTCTAGTTTTTCGTCAGGCTTAAAACGCGAATCCATAGTACCTTAGCTCTAATTACTTTTATGGTTTTGGGCAGGTAATATAAGAGAGCATTTCTCAAACCCTGTTGAATCAGACATGAAAATTGCATTTAAAATATTAACAGATTCTGTGGAAAGTGGGAACTGGAGATGACGTGGGAGAAAAAGAACTGTGTATGGGAAAACACTGGGCAATCGAATCAATAAGATATATCTCTGCAGAAGGCTTGAGTTGCTAAAAAAAAAAAAAAAACATATCAGCAACATAATCTACATTATCATTAAATGTCAGCGAGTATTAGAGAATCCCGAAACTCAGTGTAAAGAAAAGGGGGAGCCTAGCATATAATGTCACAATATATAGCATGAGAGTTGAGGTGGAGGCAGTAACAGCAGATTTTTCATAGTTGGAAAGTAGTCAGCCTGACATCCAGTAAGTATAACTGACTCGCAGAGCATTCACGCATAGGAAAATCGGAAGGGTGTCTTGCGCTGAGAGTGACTTGTGCCGCTTGATAATACTCAGATAAGAAGCATATCGTGGATTTTTAGCCGAGGATATTCCAGTAAACGTGGTAAAAACAGCGGATAGTTTAGGTTTCTCTGTCCTACTAAGCGATGAGCTACTTTACAATACAACAGAGTTGGTGAAGACTCTGAGATCAAGTTAGCAGTGCAGAAGCAAGACAGAACATCCCTATCTGAAGAGACTGATTCAGCTTGGTGCGAACGGAGAGTCTGGACGATATTCTACCCACAAGGAAAGAAGAAGAAGAAGAAGAAGAAGAAGAAGAAGAAGAAGAAGAAGAAGAAGAAGAAGAAGAAGAAGAAGAAGAAGAAGAAGAAGAAGAAGAAAAAGAAGAAGAAGAAGAAGAAGAAGAAAAAGAAAAAAGAAAAAAAAAAGAAAAAGAAGAAGAAGAAGTTGAGGAGAAGGAGAAGGTGGAAAAGAAGAAGAAGAACCAGTAATAGACGAAGTAGAAGGAGGACAAGAAAGAGGAGAAAGAATAGGAGAAGGTGGAAAAAAGAAAGAAGAACAGTAATAGGACAAGAAAGAGGAGAAAGAATAGAAGAGTTAAGGAGGAAATATCGGGTGTGCTGCATGATGGTTCAGACCGACCAGCAGTATTTCTTTTTCAAGTGTACTGATAGTAAACAAGTTAATGCTGTACATTTTAATAACTATCAATATTAGGTTTGTGAAGATAAGTTAATGAGAAAAGACGTTTGTAGACATAAAAAAGAGCAAATACAAGCAAATCTTGAATTAATTTACAAATATGGTTCAGTTGAATACTGTTACTAAAAAAAAGTTATTACAATAAGAACTATTTATGTTCCTTTTATTTGTCATCGTGACGAACCTTAGCCTGGCTGCTCGATATGCGTGTCTTTCTTTGAAATTTTTGAGTCAAACACTAATGTTTTAAACTTTTTTCCAAAGTGTGTTGGGGGTAAAAGGGGAGAGGGGGAAGGGGGGGGGGGGGAGAGAGATTCTGATCACTTAATTGCTTCGTCTGGTTACACAGTCTAAATCCTTTTTGTTATGAATAAATAATGATTTCGCGTCGATAATAATCAGTTACTCATCCGGATTCTTCCCAGACTCATAGCTTATATATATTTCTGTAATCGAACGCGATGTATTGTACTGTCTAATGTATACATGATTTCGTCTCATAAATGATGAAAATAGTTGTTGGATCGCTGCTTATTTTTTAAGACAGTGGTAAAGTTTAATTATCGATAATCGTAGGAGTATAGCTTCCAATCGATATGTCTTAAGCGTACACCCAACCTGAATAGAAGGGTGCCATATGGTTTTCCAAATTAATTTACTGAGCTGATGAGTGATTCGAGAACCGACATCGCAGCACTCGGGGCATTCCCATAAGCGATCTCCGTCCCTATCTTCAGCAGCCAACGCAGAGTTCCGATACTAATTTTATTGGAAACTCTGAAAGAAAAGAAGTCAAAGTGAGATCTGGTTCACATCATCTTATTGTATCGCACTCTAAAATATGTAAACGTCTAGCAACTGAAAACCCATTGACGGCATCTATCCTCATAAAACCTGTATACCCCACATTCTCACCTGCTTTTCATTCCAGTTTGACATATTTCTGCTACTTACCTGAACATATCGATTAAAAAAAGATTATATGGCCTCCAACTCGACCTAGTACGGAGCAGATGCAATTACCTGCTAAAAATATATATTATATATCACCCTTCAAAGATTAATTAGTTTATAAATTCTAGCCTTAGCACCATATTCCTAAGGAGTTACTGAAGTGAAACGAGTCCTATGCCATTACATTACTGTTACATATATCTATTCTACTGCCAGTTTTTTTTTCCTCATTCTCCGAACACCCCTCCCCCTCCCTCCCCAACCACCTTTTTTGGGTCATAGATTATTTCAGGTGTTTTCACCGTAAGCTGGTGCATGGCTGGTTGTTCATTTGAAGATCATCTTCATCTCGCATCAGACAGGACCATAAGTGCACCGATCTCCTCCTGAGTGTCTCCAAGTTCTTTTAGGCTAACAACTCTCATGCTGTTCTGCGTACGGGTGGCTTCTGTATGATTTTCCTGTCTCGCCGCTCTAATTTGTACACCCATGATATGTAGTCTATTCCGTTGAATAACATTTTCCACTAAACTGAAAGTCTCACAGCGTTTAGTCTCTCGTGTAACATTCTTGATGTCTCTGCTGTCCATAGATGGCTCAGTAATGATAAACGCACTGCCAGTTAGGGCGTCTGCTCTCTCATTCCCTTTCAGGCCAGCAACCGGGAGAAACAGGTAATTCTTTGAAACACTGCGTGCTGTATCAGATGGAGCCACTGTTTCAGTATATGCTTCGCTTTAGTCTTCTGTAGCATGCTCGTTGAATCGCTGAGTAAACGTGCCTTTGTGAATCCCTGAGTTTTTACCCGTGCTATGGTCTTTTCAACAACTAGACCTCCATTATTATGCTGCTGGTGGTAGAAGCAAAGGCTCCACTGTCTTCTTTGATGACCTTCCTTGAACTTCTTGCCTTGGAAGCCTAGGCACTTCGCTTCTGACGAATCACGAATGTTTTCATTTCTGCATTAGGTAATGGTGGCGTCAGCACTGTCATGTCGTATCAGGGTGGTAACCACAACAAAGTACTGCTTGTATTAATTTGGTATGGGTATCCATTCCTGTCCACGGTTTATGTTTTAAAGTAGTAGTAGTAGTAGTAGTAGTAGTAGTAGTAGTAGTAGTAGTAGTAGTAGTAGTAGTAGTAGTAGTAGTAGTAGTAGTAGTAGTTGTTGTTGTTGTTGTTGTTGTAGTACATTTTACCCCACCAGGACTCAGGATCCTCATCGGTGCTACAGAGCCTGTGCACTGTGCTGAGCTTCTTCGGACTCAGACTTAAGTTAGAAGAAGAACGGAGCACTTATTGGTTACTACCCGTGTGCCAAGATGTTGATCCATTGTTCAAAACCTCAAACCACCAGGACAACACATAAGCGATAAACACCCGATGACACAAAAATGCCACCATGCGGATGAGGATCACCCGTGGAGAGGTTCCGGAAACCGCGTTCAGTCATTAGACCATATTTATAGCCAGGCTATACTGCGGTCCCTGGCAAGAGCCAGGGTGGGGCTTCAAAATAACGAAAAATTGTATCCCACCAGGGGATGGCTGATATGTTTTGAAGGGAAATCACCCGTTAAATTACTGTCTCTACCCGGCCCAACCAAGACTGGTCTCGTTTCTGTCGCCTTTACGTGTGTTCAGTTAATCGCGCAATGTGTCTAACGACCTCAAGTAATATGAAATCCGCCTTGGCTGTCGTTTTAAATTAGAAGATGTTTCCCCCTTTTTCTAAGAGAGGCTAAATCCGGCACGAAATAATTCCTTTCAACAGTATCACAATATTTAACTGCCTGCATGTAACTAATATTAAACTTAGAGAGGAATATATAACATAAAATGTGTACAGTCATATATGTTTTCGCATTTGGTACCATTCGCGCTTTTATTCGGGTAAATCATGTTATCATTACACGTAGAGGGCGAAGTTACGTTTATGGAAAAGAAATACAACTCTTAAATACGATGTAATTGTAAAATTTGTTTAGTAGGCATGGTAATAATATAATTTATTATAATAACATTTAATGTCAGAAAAAGAGTGTTAAAATGTTACATAGAACCTTTTCTGCAGTGTGGCATGGAATCCTGGAATGTCAGTTAATAAGTTCAGAAGAATTTGGAAGCTACAGAGATGTGGTTTCTGAGACGAATGTTGCGAATACCTTGGACGGCCAGAGTAACTAACAACGATTGTTTTCCAGAAGCTAATGGAAGTAGATCTCTGTTTACAACAATAAGAAAGAGAAAAACACTGTTCTTTAGCCACATTATGAGAAGAGTGACATTGGAGAACCTCGTGACGACTGGAAAGATCAGTGGAAAGACGGTTAGAGGCAGACCAAGAGAGATGATGCTGGATGGGCTGAAGCGATGGCATGGAGGGATTTCATCAAGAGAGCTGTTCCAGGCAACCAGGGATCGTAATCTGTGGAATCACGTGATCGCCTAAGCCAGTTGTCAGGGCCATGATGATGATAATAATAATAATAAAATATCGAAGAATGAATTTGATATAAAGATGGATCCATGGATGTTTTCGATTTGCGAAAAAGTCACTGGGTGTCACCACCCTTGGTGACATGATTTTAAAAAGAAAATCCGATCTAGTTCTTGCATTCTGAATGTTTGTCTTTTCGACCCAACTAAATTATTTTATTTATGACGTCTCCCAATTTAAAAAAAAAACCCATGCTGTTCATAACCTATGAAATACGCTATTTAACATGCGGGTTTTTTTATTTTATTTCAGCTGAACTTCATCTTTTTCTTGAACATATTTCGCGTGCTGTGCTCAAGGGCAAGGTCAAGTCAGCGTCACATGGGAAGAAGCAAATACAGGTACGTCTATCCCATAACCACAGATAAAAAGGACGATCTAACGTTTTCTAAATATTGCAATTCATTATAGATTAATGAATAATCTAGTGAAAAATACAGGGTGTTTGTAAAGTCACATTACACTTTATTTAGAACAAATTTGATAAACGAAGTGCTTGACGTTGTCAAAAGATTTGCTGCGTATTCAATAGTAAGGAATTTGCAATGAATGGCTGTCGTCTTTGCACTCTACGCAGAATCATTTATAAACGGAGAAAATAATTTTATTTTTGTTGGCTGAACACGTATTTCAAAGTTTTCAAATATAGTATATTACGTGGAATTTTGCCTGTTTATTCCCCAGATCTAACAGTGTTAAATTATTATCTATGGGATTTCTTTAAAGGAAATGTCTACGGAAATAATATACACACGGTAAAGGACTCGAAAGAAGCAGTCCGAATTATTATTCAAAAAATAACGACACTTTTCAGAAGGTATTTGACAAGATCAGGAGATGTGTACAGTCATACATTGAAGCCCTTGGTGGAAATTTTCAACACTTGTTAAAATGAATATTTGATCGGAATGACTTCAGTGCCATCAATGTCTGCAATGCCTGCAGTGACCTGGTGCTGCCTGCAAAGGCCTGATGCTGGGTGAGAATTTTTAAATTTACACGGGGAGTGGTCATATGATGTTATTTTAAGAAGTATGTTGTGGTATCTAGCTAGGCTGCGATGTAATGGTTGGTTTTCAGGCAGTTCGTATTGGTTACCTACTGACATTTCTGTAAAAGTTATTGTTGTATAATGTTATCCTTTTGTCTACAGACACCTGGCAAAGTTTATCCTGGTATTGATCCCGCTTTTTGGCGTCTTCTACATAATTCTAGCCGTGGCTTTTCCATTAGGTTATGCCAGTCGCTTTGCTATAACACCTATGTATGTGGAACAAACGTATAATGCATTCCAGGTAAAATCATATTGGATTATTTTTGTATTAGTGAACTCTCTTGTAATAGCATGCCACAGAATAATTGTTCCAGTTTTTAGAAAAATTCACTGGATTCAGTAATGAGTATTTTAAATGTTATTTCAGTCATGAGAATTGAGAATGTGGGATGTTAATAAATTCCTGAAAAGCGTTCAACTATTTTGCGTTTCAATCATTAGAATTATGTAATTACATGTTACATTATATATCACATTTGTTTTTCTTTAGAAATATCTCCGTTTTAAAAATCGTCTTCATTATGTTATAGTAATGAAGTTGTCTTAAGATAAATTAATAAACGAAGAGAACATTTTACGCGCCTAAGAAGGGTGACAGGGTACATCGTGTAGTCCTCCAAACACACCAGAAGACTTGTTAATCAACATACAACTGGTACTATTAGCCATCGGACGTTGGAGTACATACTGAGGGGAGGATCTGACCACCTATGGACATAACCGGAGTGCAATGATGATAACCCAGCTAACTAGCTAACTAATTAACTAACTAATTCTTTAGTCCTGCCACGAGAAGGAGACAAGATGGAGTACCCCACTGACGGCAGGAAAGTTAAAGGAGAAAGAGGCAGAGAGAAACCAAGAAAGAAAAGAGTCTGACATCATGGACCTGAAGACCAGCTGTTTCTAAACTACAGGCCGTTATGTATAGTCGTGACTATGAACGCCAACGATATGAACTAAAAGAAGAAGTCTCTGCTCCCGTTTCAGTTTTCAAAGTAATCTTGCTTTAGGAAACATTATCTTTTAGCTGATTGGTTGTTTTTTTTCAACCCATTCAAACAAGGGTGAACTGCATACTGCACTTGTCATATAATGATCCGTTTTGTCGGGAAAAAAAACTTAAACATCAATTTCTAAATTTATTGAAACATCAGAGGAAATCGTCAGTGTGCAAAATCTAATTTGCATGCAGGTGTGTATGTTTAAACAACTAAATGTCATCGAAAATTTATAAATCTGAATTCACAATTGCACCGCAATACGTCAGGTGATTTTTTTGTATGTAGATTGCATAAGTCTGTTACCAAATTTGTAAACGCATTATAGAAGCCATTAGTTTTTTAGAGAAATCATTTGACAACTATGTTAACGAAAAAAATTATGCTGCTTCCGAAAAAAAGAATTTCCTGTTTTCTACTAATTTCTTGCAAGTTGGTTTGTCTGTGCTAGCATTTTTATCAGATACATTATTTTTATAATAACCCTATATAATATTTTATGACAGTAATAACAGATACATTATTATGTGCAACAACGATATCTAATAATAACTGTTTTCTTCCATCACAGGGATTTTTGTTGGCATTGCTGTTTTGCTTCCTAAACGAGGAGGTAAGAAACAGGTATTAGTGCAGTTTGAACTAAGGGAGGTCTACATTTTGCATCCAGAGCTCTCTCTCCCTCTCTCTCTCTCTCTCTCTCTCTCTCTCTCTCTCTCTCTCTCTCTGTCACTCTCTCACACACACGCTTGTTATCTCCTGTATCATCATAGACCAGGGGCTGGGGGAGGGGGAGAGACGGAAATATCTGTGACTGCTTGTATTTTGCAGATAAACTCTTCTATAGAATGAAATAGCCAGCCTCACACAAATGCTTCTGAATCGCTTTTTATGTATCAACTTAACTGTGCAGTCTAGAAAAGTCGCCCCCAGCCCATAGAACCGTCCCCTCTTCACTTACCCCACAAACAAGGGTTTCTTTCTAACCATTATGGTGTCGCGGCTTCCATGTAAGTAAAATAGAGGACTCTATTTACTATAGAGTCTGAAGTCGTCACATAGACCATTACAGAACGGGTTCAGTCAGACGATCAAAACGCTTATTAATTTTCCCAATTTGTACTGCAGATGATTTTGTTATAAACAAGCTATCAGGACTTTCAGGAATGGGCCATCTATCGACAGGAGAGTCATCATCAATGCCAAACGAGAAACCAAACACTGTGATGTTTCCATTTGCGTGGAAAATGACTTTCACTAAAAAGACTGCAAAACCTGGGTGTACCAGTTGAAGCCGCGAGACAAAAAAAAACCATACAGTAGCCACCTGTCAAAACAGAGCAGAATGGGAGTTGTTAGCCTAAAACACTTGCAGACATACACAGGAGGAGATGGGAGCACTTATGGTCATGTTCTATGGGCGATGAAGATTATGTTTAAATGAACAATGAACGGTTGTAATAAACAGAGATGTTATTCTGTAATTTTTAACTAAACAAGATGTTCAGTAAAACATCATCAACAAGAGTTCGCTTAAGAGAAACATTTACTTGACTGGAACAAAATGTTGTTGGTTCCAGCAGGGATTTGCTTTTGTTATTGGTCCCCGGTAAGCACCAGGTGTTGCTAAAACAAACTCGTTTTTCGGTCCCTTAAAATTCGCGTTAACGAGGTTTTACTGTGTCAGGGTGTATGTAAATTGAACGGTCTGTTTTTTTTTTTTCTTTTTTTTTTTTTTTTCATGTCTGCACATTTTTTTTCAGTTGTGGGATTTTTAAAATTCTTTTATTGATTTCGTTAGTTGGAAAAGTGGGGGGGGGGGAAAGAAAAGAACAGAAAAATCCGACTCTGTGGGCAAGTTGTTTCATAACCTCGTGGTGCCTCAATATATAATTGTTCAACGAGGTTTCTGAGATCGGCTCCTGATGGATTCATTTCGAAAAGAAGATATTTAAATAACTGGGTCAGTCGGTAGGGCGGCAAGCCGGCGAGGGAGAATATGTTTCTGAAAAAGACGAATTCTTCGTAATTTTTTTCGTTCATCAAATATGTTTGTGTGCATTATTTCTTGCATATATGCTTATTCCCTATCCAACGCCACTCTTTTCCATCATCATCATCATGTAGTAGGTCCTTTGCAGAACGTCGCTCTCATCACAGTCTGCCTGTAAGAAACTCGGTCTCTTGCCAGGTCTCCCGCCTCATGTATTTTCATACTCAAGGAGTCACTTATATCTTCCATGATGAGTCTCTTGGGATAGTAATGTGGTAGTTTCCTGTTGCTTTCCACATCCACATGGCTTTAGACTTCCTCAGCCTTCAGCAACCTTTTCGATTGCTAGGGCAAGTGAGTGCCCTGCACTGTGATGCTCCTGCTAACAGCAGAGGGCACCCCAGAGGTGTCCACTTATCCCGGCGGATACTCGGTCCCCATAGCTGCGTTGGCCACACCGCAGTGTGTTTACCGTCCTCTACCGCGTGGAGGTGCAGTTGGGGTTTTCCCTTCACTGAGTCTTGAGACCAGAATCCACTCTTTTCCACACGTCATAATTTACTGGAATTTGTTTAGGTGCCTTCCAAACTCAACATCTGTCATTCTGTCTTGCCATTTCGTTTCCACTACTCTACCCAGGTACTAGTTAATAATGTATTATTTCCTTTTATTTTTTATTTTTTTTTCACTGTTTTATACTAATGTTAATTGTTACAAAAGTGACAATTATGATATCTATTTTGTACTCTTATTAGGGCTCACATAGAAAAAAATGTAGGAAGATTTAGAAATTACGATGATTAGAGTTGTACATATTCGGAAAAAGTGTGGAGTCCATAGAGATAGATGCCGAGAATACTAGCAGATAGGACTGATGATTGCCAATAGATTAATGACTGTGGAAAGATTGATGGTCTATTATTCCATGGAGGCGAACAAGAAAAACACTTCTCTAAGTTTTACTATAAATATATTTATCTTTCTTTCAAAGGTACACGGTGAGATGAAGAGGATATGGTGGAGACGTCGCACTAGAAGGAAAGACAGTGTTGCTACAAGATCGTTCGTGATGTCCTCCTACAAGAGAAATTCTCAACACCACAGAACATCACTAAACATCACTCAGCCACTACGGTCTGTAGTAAACCTACCCAGATCAGACAGTACAGACTCCAAGGAAGGATCCTGGTTTTCTCGTCTCAAGATCCAAGTTCTACGGTGGCTGGGGCGTGAGCACAGATCAAAGAAATGTTTAAATAGGGCATCCCCTGTTAGCGGTGATGGTAGAGATAGCAGTAACGTGGAAAAACCTGACGGCGATGATCAAGAACTCAGCATGACTGCACGAGACAAGTGTAACAACAATGAGGAGGAAGAAGATGGGTAATCATCAGGGTGAAGACAATAACTCCAGCCTGCAGTTGTCCTTGTATTTGAAGCTAAACCAGCCGAACTACAGCTCATCTGTGAATGCCATTATAAACTATTTAATGAACTATCGTAGTTACTGACATCAAAGGACTAATGAAACTGAGAGGTATTATTGCTTTATTTAACAAGAACCCGCTGTCCAGTACAAAGCTCGCATTCAGATCCTGTATAATGAAGAACACAATTTTGAGCATACTGCACCACATAATGATGATATATAAACATGTATACGTACATTATTGTTGAATCTATGGCGAAAGGGGCCACGTTTGTTTCCATTGTTTTATGACAACTTGTACTGTCTCTTTGCCGATTTAATCATTTGCATACTTTGTATTATTGGCCATTTTTCTACATTATTTTGTTTTTGGCATTCAATATTTTTATGTTTCATGTTATTACTTAGTGCATTGTTTCTTCCTTGATAAAAAACATGAACATGACACACATAGTTTGAAAATCAACACCACACAGCTGGGTGATGTTTAGTGATGTTCTGTGGTGTTGAGAATTTCTCTTTCAGATGCTGTGTCTTAAACAGAAATGTTTGAAGCATAAAGGTGTAGTCCAGGCGATGATAGTTCTATTGTAATGTGAAGTGTTTGACATATTGTATGCCGTATAATATGGCATCAGATATAACATTAAGAGCTAACTTACACTTTCCCAAAAAAAATTCCAAATCAGTTGAGGAAAATATCTAGGATTCATTATTTATAAGTTTGAAATGGAATGGTCAGACAAAAATAATTCCTTATTTATTAAAATTTAAAACTGACCACTGTCTACAGGCAAACAGCCACTCTATTAATAAAACAGTTTCCATAACTGATTAGAGAAATCACCTGTACATTGTCAAGACTAAACGGGATGATATCGGGGCAACAGACATATGGTTTCTCAGACGGACGTTCTAAATTCACTGGACTCTCTCAGAGAAACTATCACCGATTGTCTGGAAGAGGCTAATTATCGTAGAACATTAAAAACAGCTACAAGAAAGCAATACTAAAACGCTAGTCAATGGAAAACTTTGTAACTGTTAGAAAGATCAGTGGTAAAAGATTGCTGATCGAATATATGTTGAATGATCTGTGGTGGTGGCATGGAGATATATCATATACCGAAGTAATCAGAAGTCCAACATCCAAGACTATGGAAAGATATGAGTGACGTTTAACTTCACCAGGACCGCACAACAAGCGATTACTACCATGTGACACAAAGTGCCACTTTTTGGATGCCAATCTCCCAGGTGTAAGTCTCAAAAACCTCGTTCAACCGTAAGGTTATATTACGGCACCCGATGAGGTTTACGAAGCAGTGAAGTCAAGCCGGGATGGCATTTTAATATAATATATATATAAATAAATAAATATATATATATATACATATATATATAAATATATATATATATATATATATATATATATATATATATATATGTGTGTGTGTGTGTGTGTGTGTGTGTGTGTGTGTGTGTGTGTGTGTGTGTGTGTCCCATTTTGGAACTGAATAATTGTGGAAGATGTGTTCAGCTGTATGTGCATTATACTTCTCACTTCCCTTCGCATAAACTTGTGGTCTCCTTGAATCTGAATTGGGAAGGGGGAGGGGGTGGCTTTAATTAAAGTGTCAGAGTGTCAAGCAACTTTGAAATTGACTTTTTCTATACTTGTAAAAATCCGGATTTGCAGCTTTAATAGTCATGAAATCAAAATAGCATTGCCAGCTTGATGCAGGGAGTGATCTCTGTTGTGCCTTGTCTAACATAAGGACCCCCCCCCCCTCCCCCAACCCCCCCAAAACAAATATAGCAGATATCAAGACAAAACAGTGGCATGCATCACACTGATATTTGGACTATCAATAACCAGTTGCTGGTGATTGTTTCCTTTGTTAGTCGACACTAAATTATGCGCGTGTTGTTCTCCAACTTCCTGTTAACAGAGCTTGGGATTTTTATTTTCGTCCTCTTTTTAATCGTACGTTCGTTGAAAAGAGCCACGGCAGGATCAAGTGGGTTATACTAAAGATGGTTGACGTGCGGTCTTGCAATATACTCAAGGGGGTTGACGTGAGGTCTTGCCATATACTCATGGATGTTGACGTGGGGTCTTGCCATATACAAAAGGGGGTTGCCTTGGGGTCTTGCCAAATACTCGAGGGGTTGGGGGTTGTCGTGGAGGTCTTGCCATGGACTTACGGGGTGCGGCTCCTGTGAAAGTTGTAAGACCACTAGCCTAAATAGTTTCCCAGTGATGGATATAACTGCCAAGAATTATCAAGTAGTTCACCACAGGATATGTAATCTGTTCGAGCAGAGAGAGCAGTTTTGTGGATCATCGGAAGGAGTTTTGAGGGGAAACCATAAAATATTTTTTTCCTTTTAAATAATAAATAAATGAGCAAAAATCCGGAACAGGGGAGTTTTCATGAATTTCATACGAGGCACCTGACTGATTTGCCTAACATGACATATTATCTGGCAAAGGAGGCTGTTTCATTTACCGCAGAGCAGGTAATGCTCCGAGGTGAAGGTAAACAGTGGTGACATTGAGCTCAAGTGCTTCTAAGATGTGATCCGTCTGTGCGTATTAGGCTGTGTTCGATATGAAGAACTCTGTCAAAGTATTTTCCTTCTGACAAATTAATGTATATATATTTTTTTTCGGTTAGATGTGTCAAAAGCCTTTATACACTGAACTGTGTCTAGTGGTAGTGGTTGTACATACATCCAGGCCTAGATACAACTGTCTGTATTCCCTCTACATGCATTGTTATCTGCATTTTAACAACGCAATGACCCCAATGTCAATACCACATCGACAAAACCCAGGCAACTTGTTTAACATTCTAAGATGGTTTTGACTGGGTGAAAGTTAGTCGCCTATCCCTTATTCAGCATTTCAGATCCTACCCCAGCATTCTTTTTTTTTTTTTTTTTTGGCTGTTTGGTTTTAGCGGCAAATTTAAATTCAGTAGTTTGCCATTGCCAATAAGCGGTTGGCGCTCTATAGCAGTTTGAAATCAACGCAGAGTGGTCTGCTGTCAAACCGCCTGCTGCTGGAATCTAATGGGCATTTCAGAATTACGAGCCACATTTGCCATACCTAAGCCATTGAAGCTAATTCAAGGTTCCATTTAGCTACTCCATACATTATAAAGACATACCATTTTATGCTAAATAAGTCACACGTTTAAAAACAATTGTACAACCGATTTATTTGTCGTTCTAGCTAGAAGATGTTGTAGCTCTTTTGTGTATACACTTTTAATGTGTGTAATACAAGGAATATGTTAAATCCATATATATATATATATATATATATATATATATATATATATATATATATATATATATATATATATATATATATATATATAAAGAACTGAGTAAACTTGTACAGTATTACTAGTAGTGATATCTAAATGATGTATGATTAAATCACGACTGTCCATAAAAACGAACAGTCCGGGTTATAACTGTATCTATAACGTGCTCTCAAAGATGTATACACATTTATACAACTGTAGTTCACGGTACTTTTTTTTTCCTTAAAAATCCTAAAGAACTCAAGATATGATCTAAGCAAGACTAACTGCCAATTACTGCCTTTATTATACCACTTTTGCGGTGTAGGCGGGGGAAAAAAGGGTTGAGGCGGGGAGGAGGGGGGGGGGCGTGGGTGTTGGGCCTAAGGATATACGGAAGTACGGCTAGTGCTGTCTGTGCAGGTAAGGATTTTTTTTTTTTTAAACTAAAGCAGTAGGTCATTCAGCTTTGAAATATTCAATGTCCTAAATATCACACATTTTGCCCTTTTGTGATTATAACACTTTAAAAAACAATTGCTATCAAACATTCATAATGTGTACAGATTTTCAAACCCTCTGAAACTTCGATCTATGTCACAACAGTATTTATAAAGAGGCCTGACTAATTGATAATAAAGATACGTGATAATGATTCATGCTTATTTAGAACCTGGCGCTAACCATTGTGTGTGCATGTGGGTGGTTAGAGGTGTGTGGGGGTGTGTTTGCGAGTGAGAGAGGCAGAGAGCTCATGTGTATGTTTACTCAGTGCTATGTCAATTTCAGGACTGAAGAAATATTTTTATCACCTGAATTTGGAGGCAGATTATAAGTATGAATGTGTGTGTGTGGGGAGGGGGAATTGTGTATATTGTGTAGAAGAGAGATTGTGTGTGTGTGTGGTATGTGTGTAAGTGTGTGTGTGTGTATTGTGTGGCTGATTAATACGTTGCAAATTTTAACTTTTTGTCTACAGTACATCTTCTCAATAAATTGTTGTCAATCTTTTCACATATAGTCAACTTACATTTGTACTTTTTGTGTGGTTAACATGTCTAATAATATCAAAGTTCTGCAAGCAAAGTCATATCTCAGAGTAGCTGCGGACAAGAGACACCTCCTACATGAGCACTGGATAGAGCTAAGGGTCACAGGCTGAAAAGAAGAAAGTCTTCGATGGTGCAAGCTGAAGACACAATTGGACATGTGTGCAGGCTTGATAAATTTAGGCGAGGAGAGGAGTTGGTCAAAGTGTCCGATTAGGTTTCAGACGAGTAGGGTTCTAATCACTTTGGTACATGAGTGCAGGGACTGGCCAGCTGGTGCTGCAGAATCAAAAGTTCGACAAATGATGAATGACAATTCCCGCCAAGGTGATGTGATTGTCTAAATAGATGGCTCTGTGTTGAGGGGCATACGAAACGCATAGGGGTTTATAGCAAAGGCGAATGGACGTTGCTTGGTGCAACAAAGCCTGTCATATGATATCACAACGTCTAGTTTGAAAATAGAGGTGGAGGCAGCCACTGCTGCCTTCCGCTGACCTGAAAAAGGCGCGACGGATATACAATCAGACAGTTACTGGTACCATAGGAATTTTAACATCGCTAGCTTCTAAAGATGGGGGAGTGCTCATGT